AGATTTATGCATGCCTATGTTTATAGTGGCCATTTGTAATAGCTAAATCGTGGAAATAGCCCAAATGCCCATCAACCAACAAACTGATAAAGAAGATGTGGTTGTTATATAAAAAGAAGTACTACTCTGCCATAAAGAAGGATGAATGTGAGACATTTATAGCTAAATGGATCCACTTTGAGATCATACTCTTAGGTGAAATAAATTGGACACCTATGTTTAAGTACCACATTCTATGCTGTGAGAAATCAAAAGTGGAAATAAGAACTAAAATGCATAACAGATATTGGGAAAGGAGAAGAAAATGTTCAAATGGGAAGGGAATAAGGGGAGGGGGAGGGAGAAACAGAGGGACAAGAATAAAAGGAAAACTAGAAGGAAAAATGGAAACAAAGTGCATATAAGGAAGGGAGGGGGGCTTGAGGTGAGGGAGAATGGGTAAAAAGGAACAGGCAGGCCAAGGATGTAGCTCAGCGGCACTGTGCCTGCCTGGCAAGTACAAGGTCCTAAGTTCGATTTCTGGCACAAAGAAGAAGCAGGATATATCACGTATAAGTGCAAATTCTCTATGATGAATGTTATCATCATGTATATCTAAATTATACTAGTAAATCTTTTGCTTAAAAAAAAAGAAATTGAGTTTTAAGATTTAAAGATTTAAATGTAAACTTGAAAAATTGTTATGGTTTGTGTCTAGATGTACCCCCAAAACCTCATGCAGTCATAGGGCTTTTTCAGAAGTGCCTGAATATGGAGTGTGTGATGCTGGGATTAAGGATGTCCAATTACTAGATCAGTCCACTGATTGGTTTGGCACTGCCCTAATCCTGGTAGTCTGCATAAGATAAAAGGGGCAGAAAGACACTGTTAATGTCCCTTGTTGCTTTTGCTACTATGTGGGTGCCAAGAATTGTTTCTCCTCTGCAATTCCCCTCTGCCATGTTCCACCCTGCCTTGGAGCCAGCTGATTATGGACTGAAACTTCTACAAATTGTGAACTAAATAAACCCTTTCCTCTTTAACTTTGGGTGTTGGGTATTTTGTCTCAGCAATGAGAAAAAAGTAACTATCACAAAAATGTTTTCAAAAATCAGGATATAACTGGTTAAATGAACAGTTATTATTTTATTATCTTAGTTTATGATACAACCAATATATCTGGAACTAGACATATCTATTATGTATGTATATGTACATATATGCAAAATGTGAGTCTTCAGCTTTAAAGTTAAGATTATAGATTTAAGACTACATAAGTTTAATAGATACAAAGTAATAAGTGTTTTCTTTTACATAATATACATTATATCCATATAAAATGAAAATTTTTGACATGTCTTTAAATTTGGACCAAAAAAAAAGAATTCATGCTTTAAATGAAAAAATGGAAACAAAATCTTTGTAAAAGGGGGCCAGGGATTTAGCTCAGTGGTGCCACTGCCTGCCTCAAAAGCACAAGGTCCCAAGTTCAATCCTCCTTGGTACTAAAAAAAGAGAAAAAGAAAAAGAAAATTTTATAAAAGGGAGGGATGGAGGGGTTGAAGGGAGGGCAGGGAAATGAGGAAAAAATAAGAACCAAGAGAGATTATGTAAAGGTGCAAATTTCCAATGATGAATGTCATTTTATTGTATACCTAAAATGTATTAATAAAATGAAATTTAAAGAAAAAGAATTACAACTCCTCAGAAACCATACAAACAGGAACAGAGTGGAGTGAAAGAAAATATCTCCAACCTAGAATTCCATATTCCATAAAGTTATCCCTCAAAAGTGAAAAGAAATAGGGACCTGATCGAACAAACAAAAATTTAAGGTAACTGTCACTAATGCATGTGTACTTCAGAGAGGAGGAAAGGGATATGGCCCAAAACTCTAGTCTACAAAAAGTAAAGGCAGTAGAGAAGGAACAAGTGGAGGTAAGACAAATACACAAAGCAAATCAGCACAGTTCTCCAGGAAGTCCTCCCTGCCCCGCTCTTACCTGCACCCCTCCTAGGGATCCAGGAGCACCGGCACTGCCTTCATCACACAACTCTGGAATAGCCTATCATCTCCCCCACAGGTCCCCAGCCCTGTGTGCCCAGAGCCAGGCTAAGGCACTCAGCATTACAGGAAAGGAGGGAGCAAGGGAAAGAGGGAAGACTGAATGGCAAGGCTTCCGCACTGACACAGGGACAGGTTGTTAAATAGTGTGTCTCTTTATTAGCAGTTCAGCAAAGGATTCCCGTGCTGCCTCTGTCGCAGCACAGGGCTCACCCACTGCCATCTCTGTGCCCAGGTCTGGGCACCTTCAGGTCAAGCTGGAGGTGGACTTTTCTTTGACACAGGCTGTTCCTTGACCTTGAAGGTTTCAACCTGGGAAGCAGAGAAGTGACCAGGGGACACGTCACAGAGCTGTGATGCTTCCCTCTCCGCTAACCATTCTCTCCATTCACAGAGCTCAGCCTAGACAGCAGAAGACCCATGAAAGGAAAGGCAGGGTTTCGTCAGAACCTGGGACTGAAGCCTGGCTCTGCTCCTCCCCACCTCAGCCACCCTTCCTCATCTCTGGGGATGTCAGCAAACAGCTGATGTCATTTACCACATGCTACACACCACCCCAAGATCCTCTGAGGTGAACACTCCTGCTGTAGATAAAGACATGACATACACAGACATGAGGTAACCTGCCAGGTGCAGTTGGATTGGCACCATGCCTGCTCCTCAGGCCTTACCACCTGTATAATGGTTGACTGTGGGCAAAGTGCCTTGTGCAGAAGTTGGCATAGAGGAAGTGCTTGATAAATCATATCTCTATGGCCTTCTTTAGAGGCCAGTTGTACGTAAATCACATCTTGTACCTCCACAGTGGCCATTGCCACCTCTCACCTAGCAGGGTGGGCAACAGCTCAGCCTTCCACCACCCAGAAACACACAGACCACCAGTGTTATGACTCAAGGACATGAATGTCCCCGATGAGTGGGTTCCAACATCTATCCACCCTCGCTCCTGCCTCTGTGATCCTGTGAAGCAAAGTGAGGTTCACAGATCAGCAGCAGTACTGCCCAGGGACTGTCAGAAAGGCAGACTTCTGGGTCCCTCTGCAGTCTATTAATCATGAGGTCCTGGGCCTGTGAACCACCAGTGGGCACTGGTATCTGTGCCACCATTAAAGGAGTCAGAGAAGGCAACCTGTAACTCAACCACCAGCCCTTCCACAAGTTTCAGAGAGGCACTGCCAGATCCTGAGGCAGCTTCCTCTTCTCCTGCTGCCCTGGGGGCAAGCACAGGCCCCTCACTGACAAGGAAAGGCTAAGCCTTAACTCATCCCAGCACTGTTTGTCACTGCCCTGGCTGACCATCCTCTTGGCCCAGGCCTTCCCCTGCTGGTTCTCTCACCTGTTGCTCTTAGCAGTTTGTGAAGGAAGATCTGACGTTTGAGTCCTGAGCTGAGTCACAGGTAAGGTGGGATAAACTACAGGGGACAGTAGAGAGAGGTCCAGGTTGGGAGAGGCTGCCAGGCAGCAGAGCCCACCCAGATCTCATGCCCAACCACAGCTTGAGGGTAGGGGCTGGGATGGGCAGCTCAAACATGGGTTATCACCACACACAGACTCGGCAGGGGTTCTAGGAGGAGACCCTTGACCCAGAGCTCTTCTGTGCATTAGCAGCACTGGGAGAAGCACAGGAGAGAGGACAGCAGCCCTGGGAACCGCTCACCTTTGCATGTGTGTGGCATGTGTTTCTGGGGATTGGACACTGGCCCTTCACACTGAGCTACATCCCCAGAACTCTCTATTTTTTATTTTGAAACAGGGTCTTGCTAAGTTGCCCAGGCTGGGCTCAAACTTGCCATCCTTCTGCCTTGGGCTCACAGAGAGCACTTCCACTCTCCCCAGCTTGTCCCTGCTCTGGATATTCAAAGGAACACCAAACAACATCACTGGTGCAGACCAGCAGCCACACTGCACAGGCCCAGTGGGAGTGAGGTCAGTGCCCAGCAGCTCACCTTCGTCTCACCTGCTCTATCCGATCTTGCATGACCTCGCCCATCATCTCGCTTGGCACTTGGAAGATGCGGGTGTGGCTGCAAAATGCCATTCAGACATGCAGGTTCTGAGTCTCCTTCGGATGAGGCAGAATGAAACTGCCAGAATTGGGATGCCCCTCACTGTGACCTCTGGAGCTGGTCTCTGCTCCTCTCATGAAAGGCTATTTCACTAATGGGTACCTTGCCCTGAGCAGGCAGGCAGCGGTCCCAGGGAGTTAGGGAAATAGGCACTGCTCACCTTTACCAATGTCCAGAGGTCAGTGGCCTATGGACTTTTCCCTTCTGATGTCCTCCCTTAACTTCATGATCTGCTCTTATGTTCACTATCCTACCATATTCACTGGGCTTTAGAGAAACATCTAGAAAACTAGGTGTGTGCGTGGACCATTTAAACCCAGTTCCCCAAGCACCAAAACTCAGGAGCCAGATAGGAAATGGGAAGCCTCCACCCAGGAGAAAGGCAGCTTCAGGCCCAGCTCACTCTGCCTGGAGACAGCATCTTCAGAGTTCAGGCAGAGGCTGGCAGGTGTGGGCTGTGGCTGACAGGAGAGAATTCTAGCTTTGGGTGCTGGAAACTGCCACACACTTAGTTGCAGATGAGGGCAAGTTTTTGCATTTTAAGAGCTTATTTTCTTGTAGCTCTTTAAAGTGCAGTCATTTCTGAACAATTCAAGTACAAAAATAAGAGAATTCTGAAATATCAGACATGTTTAAGAAATGGAGAGCAAACCCAGTTTCCCAAACCCTCAAGTCATTTTCAAAGCAAGAATGAGCTGGGCTTTCAAGACAGCCAAATGTTCCCTTAAGACCCCAAAGAAAGGCCCAGAAATTTCTCAGCCAAAGAATACTGCATCTGGAAAGAAGAGGAGCCATGGGTTTGTGTTGGCTGAGGACTCTGGAGAGAGGGGCCTGTGCCTTCTCATAGGCCTCACCCTCCTCTGCTCAGGGGAAAGGGGTACATTACCTCCATCTTATGAACTGGATTCTTGTTCTCTCCTCCAGGACCTCTTGGCTTGGGTTTGCACACAGATCAGCCTTTGAGAGTTGGTGCTTCACCTAGGAAATAAGGCGGGACACGTGACTATTAGCCACTGTGGACGCACCTCACCCCACCCCACAACTGCAGTGGGCTGAGCCCTTGCTCAGCACCCTCAGTGGGCCAGCCTGCCTCTTCCCACACCCTCAGTCCCAGGCCAATTGTCTCAAACTCAGTTACCACATCTCTGGTCACATGTATGTCTTCGCCATGAGTGGGAGAGGGGTTGGTGGACATCTTCTCCTTAATGCCTTTGGGAGCCTCTTCTGCTGTCTGAAAGTGATTAATTCCTTCTGTAAGTGTCATTTGTCCTCCTCTCCTCTTTCATCTTCTTCTCCACAAAACACATGCCACATGTCTGTACACACATCCTCCATATCCCCCAGACCCTGCACTAAATTCTTCCATTGCTTCTTTTTGGTGAAGTCCAGGGAGTTCCCCAAGTCTCTGGACCTATCCCAAGGTATTTCTGAGACACCCTTGAACTGAAATCCCTCTATCAAGAGGCTTGGGAAGCAAAGCCAGTGAGCAGTGATGCTGATAGAGCAATACTATACAATGATATAGGCCCTTGCCTTACCTCCATTTTTTTTTTCCTACTGAATGTTTTGTTCTAGAAGCTTAACAGTTTGTGCTGCTGGGCAGCTCCTGCCCAGTGCATCAAATTGTTTTGTAACTGTTTGAACTTCCTGCCCTCTCAGAAATGTTCTGTTAGCTCCATCCGTCTCAGGAATGTTCTGTTAGCTCCACCCCTTTCAAGAATGTTCTGTAACTCCACCCCCTTGCTTCAGTGAGCACACTCACCCAGCATGTGTTTCAGGAATGTTCTGAAACTCTGCCCTTCTGGTTTAGTGAGCATGCTCACCTACCCTCTAGATCCCTATATAAGGAGGCTTTCATTTCTGGTGAGGTCCTCAGACTTTTGAGTATGAACTGCTTTGAGCCTGCCAGGGTAAAAAAGGTTTTTCTCTACCTCTTCAAGCCACCATCAGATTCTTGATTTTCAAATTGCAATTGCCTCAACCCAGAGCTCTAACACTGAGCTGTAACACTCAGCTATGCCTCAGAGCTGTGACACTTGGCTGTGACACTGAGCTGTAACACTTGGCTATAGCACTGAGCTGTTCCAATTTGCCACAATAGTGCTAGTGCATCTCTTACCAGGGTCTTACCAAGAGTCCCAGGGTCCCCTTGGACTCAACTGTAAGCAGAGTTCCCCAGGTGTATAGAGAGAAGAGTCAAGACCCCCACCCTGCCTGAGATCAACGTCTAGAATTTGGGGTCCTGAGTCAGGAAAGAACCTTACTCACTTTTTTCATCCAATGCTCAACTACAAATACAGCCTCGCTTTCCACAACTTCAACATCCTGGAACAAATTGGTAAGTTAATGAACTTAGGAAAGCTAGAATCCCAGCTCTCCCTACCCTCAGTGCTCTCATCAGAACTTAGATATTGTAAGATCTCTCTAAAGTGCAGTAAGGTGCACAGGGGGAAAAGACAGATGAGAAACTATTCCATGTAGCTACCAGCAACTCTGCTTACCGAGCTAGTCTTTGGTGGGAAGGGGAGTCCTACACCTTTCCGGGCAAGAATGTACACAATCCATGTTGTAATTATCATCTTTGAACTTATACCAGGCCTCCTTCTTGGCTTCCTTCCATTGAAGCTGCCTGAGAACTCCTATGGGACAGGGAGGGCAGTGAGGGTAGATGTGTCCTGATTGGCTGACTAGTGATGATGTGACAATGACCTCCACTGACCTCCAGGGTCAAAGAAGAGATGGAAAAGAAAGGTCAGGAGGCTTCTGCCTTAGTGCTGATCTTGGCTCAGAAGTGGAGGGGGGCAGGAGGTAAGGATAAGCAACTGCTGTATGAGCCCAAGTGATACACAAAGGGGACACCATCCAAATTATAGAGAATCTCAGGGCAGGAGCCGGAGTTGAAATTGATGGCTGGACACCTGCTCCAGAGCAATGCTGAAACAAAACAGGAGTTGTACAAATCAAAAGAATAAATTTGTGGCAAACTTACCTGAACCCTCATTCAAAACAATGCTGAGATATTTCCTGTTGGTATCATCACATACAGGGGAGGAAAAGAGCTTGTTATGCACCAATAATAACACCAGAGATTGGGAGGCAAATTCTCAATGGGGGTATATTCTTTATTTTTGTCTAATTTGTCTGCATAAGTTATTCAAATCATTAAAAAGTAATATAAACAGGGGCCGGGGATTTAGCTCAGCTGTTCCACCGCCTGCCTCACAAGCACAAGGTCCCAAGTTCAATCCCTGGTACCAAAAAAACAAAACAACAACAAAAATTTAATATAATCATAAGAAATATGAGCAAATAGTGAAAGTGCCACTTCTTTAAAAGATGTTTCTTGATTATTCTACTTTTGTTCCTGCTTGGTGAAAGAAGAGTAAGGTGAAAACAAAAAGAGGATTGTATTGTGACTTCAGAATTGGGGGTAAAAATGAACTGAAAGGGGCTCAGGTAACTGCTCTTTCCAGCTCAGACTGGTTACAAGGAAATTCAGAGAAGCTCTTAATAACCTAACAGAACTTAAGCAAAGGTCCAGCTACCCTCAAAAGCAGTTGCAGCACAACTCGCCTGAATCTGAGGCTTAAGACTGTTCTCAAGGTCTCAGAAGTCTGTGGGCCTGTCTCTACACTAGCTGATCACTAGCTGGTCTGGTCCTGATTTCTTTGTCTTAAAATGAAAAGGACAGAATGGTGTCTCTAGTTTTCTCCCTTCCGTGATAGTCTGTAAGAGTTCAAATTCTCATTTTTCTCAGGATGATAGAAAACGTTTATCTCTCCGATTTTCTTAATATAACACTATGTCTCCTCACTTTTCTCCATCTCAGTTTTGTATCTTTTCTGGTTTGGGATGGGCTGAGAGCTGACGCAACAAACAACTCCCAAATTAAAGTTTATTTCTCACTTTCAGAAATGCTGATGCAGGGTGGGTGTCTCTCCATCACAGCTGTGCTCCATGAGTTGACTCAGAGATCTAGGAAACTTCCATCCTGCAGTTCCGTTCTTCTCAGGACGTGGCCTCCGAGATCCTCAGAACAGGAACAGAGAGCCATGGGGAGTCGAGGCAGCCTTTCCAGGTTTCAGTTCAAACGCTGCTGTTCAAAGTCTTTGGGCCCATCCTTGTCACATGGCCCCAGGCTAACGCTAAGGAAAAAATTGTACAATGGCAGATAAAATGATGTTTCAAGGTCTCTGTGTCTGCTACTATCCCCTAAAAATTATGTGCCCACCCTTATTAAAATAATTTTGTTTTAATAGTAAAATATTAATGTGATACAAAAAACAAAAGTACACGCAAAGATACATTCAGAGAAGTTTTATCTTCTACTCCATCCCTTCAACCTTGTTCTAACTAACTTAAGGAGTAAGTTTTCAATAGGCTATATATCCTGTGTTTATGTTATCAAATAAATCTATTCTTGTTGTTACAATACTAAAAATGCATTCAGTAAAATATACAAATATACGTACAGCTCAGAGAAATGTTAACATGCACTATATATATATATATAAACATTGCTTTTTTTAATACACAATGTAACATTTCTAATAGTCCAGCAGACCTCCAGGCAGTGCCCCTCCCCAAAGCATTTTTACCACTATTGCCATAGATAAGTTTTGCCTAGAAACATAAGTATGCAGTCTTTTCTCACTAGCTGCTTTGCTGTTGCATAAAGCTATAGTTCATTATTTCATCTTTGAACAGCATTCTGTTCTTTTACTTTAACACAAATTATTTATCAAATCTACTATTGATGTGCATTTATGTTATAGCCAGATTGGTACTTTTTAAAAATAAATGTTGCTATGAACGTTCATATCTACCTTTTGGTTGGCATAAGCACTAAATCTTCTGAGTATTTAACAGGGATTGGAACTTCTAGATCATAGGTTTTATATACCTTCAACATTAGTATATACCAATGAGTAATGCAAAGTGGTTGTACAAATCTACTGCCCATAACAGTTACTCCATACTTCTGTCAATACTTAGTATTGTCACTCCTTTAAATTTAGCCAGTCTGCTGAAAGTGTAGTGGTAAGTAATAATAATTTAGCTTGAAGTTAACTGATTATTAACAATGTTAAGCAACTTCATATTTGTCCACAGACACTTTGGGGTATTCTTTGTGTGCGTGAAGTGTCTTTTCCTTTTTGACTTGTAGGATTTCTTTATGTACTGTAGACCACATTTTATCAGATATGTGCATTGAAATTATTTTATCTCAATCCTTGGCTTGCCTTTCACTCTTTTAGTATTGTCTTCTTTGAGACAGAAGTTCATTTTTAAAATGAGTTTTATTGAGGTGCTAATATAAAAAATATAAAACTCAGCCATTAAATTGTCTTATAGCTTTATAGAATTATGAAACTAACATAAGGATCCAATTTTAGAACATTTCCATCACCCAAAAATGTGTCATGCTTATTTTCAGTCAACTCCAATTTTCATTCTTAGTCCCATCAATCTACTTTCTATCTCTACAGATATAGTTTTTTTCTGGATATTTCATACAAATGGAATTACATCATATTGTGCCTTATTTATTTCTCTGAGTATGTTTTTGAAAGTCATCTATATCGTGCAGGTACCAATAATCTATTCCTTTTCATTGTAGAGTGGCATGAAGAGACCCCGTTTTGTGTATCCATTACCAGCTCATGAGCATATAGAATTAGAGACCATTGTGAATAACACTGCAGTGAGCATTTGGGAAGAATAATCTTTATGTGTTTGTATATTTTATTTCTCTTAGGTAGATTCCTAGAAGTGGTTTGGTAACTATGTTAATACTTTTTCTTTAAGGAAAAAAAACAACTTTACTAAAACACAATTCACATTCCACAAAATTTACTCATTTAAAGTGTATAATTCAGTACTTGTTAGTATATTCACAGAGGTGTGCAACCATCTCTTCAATTCAATTTTAGGATATTTTCAATAATTCAAAAAAGAAACTTTGTACCAATGAGCAGTCAACTGCAGTTTCCCCCAATCCCGCCCTCAGCCTTTAGCAATCGTTAATCTGTTTTCTTTTTGTAGATTTTCTTATTCTGAACATGAAATGAATAAAATCATACAGTATCTGGTCTTTTGTCACTGGCTTCTTTAACTTAATACAACGTCTTTGATGGTCTTCTACATTGTAGCATATGTCAGTAATTTGTTTCTTTTTATTGCAGAGTAGCATTTCATTGTACAGATGTACCACATTTTGTTTATCCACTCACCATTTAATAGACATTTGGATTGTTTCTATGTTTTGGTATGAATTATGCTACTATGCTCTTTTGTGTAGACATGTTTTCATTTTTCTTGGATTTATACTTAGCAGAACTGCTGTTTCATGTTAACCCTTTGTTTAATATTCTGAGGAACTGTTGAAATGTGTTCTAAGTGTCTATATCATTTTACCTTCCCACCATCAGCATGTGAGGGTTCCAATGTTTGCCAGCATTGTTATTGCCCATTGTTTTCTTTTCAGTCATCCTGAGGGGTATGAAGTCTATCTCCTTATGATTTTGATTTCTTTCTCCCAGATGATTAATCACACTGAGCATCTTTTCATGTATCTTCTTTGGAGAAATGTCTACTCATCCTTTCCCATTTTATAATTGTATTTTTGGTTGTGTACTGTATTGTTATATAAGTTCTTTACATATTCTGAATACAAGTGCATAGCAGATATCTGATTGGCAAGTATTTTCTCCCATTCTGTGAATTGTCTTTTCATTTGTTGGTAGTGTCATTTGAAGCACAAGTTTTGAATTTTGATGAAGTCCAATTTATCTATTTTTACCTTTGTTACTTGTGCTTTTGGTGTCATATCTAAGAAACCATTGCCTAGCCTATGATTATGAAGATTTATCCTACATTTCTTCAAAGGGTTTAATAATTGTAGCTCTTGTATTTATGCCTGTCATCCATCTTGAGGTAGAAGGCAGAGTGTCCAACTTCATCCTTTGAGTGTGAATATCCAGTTATCTCAGTACTATTTGTTGCAAAGAATATTATTTCTCTATTGAATTACTTTCCTGCTCTTATAAAAAATGAATAACCATAAAATTCAGAGTTTATTGGTGGACTGTCATCACCACAGCCTTAATTATGGTAGTTTTCTTTTTTCTTTTTAATTATTTAATTTTTAAATTTTTATTGAGTATAATTCATAAAATCATACATGTAAAGCATAAAACATCATATTTTGAGATACATATATGTTGTAAAATGATTACTACAATCAAGCCAATTACCATATCCACCACTTCACATATTTACAGCAATTCTTAATTTCCTCTGTTTAGAAACATTTTATAATAGTACAAGTCAAAAAAAAAATACTCTTAAACAAGAAAAATGTGCTCAGCATCTCACTCCCAGATACAAATTTTAAAAATTAAATGAACACCATTCTAGACAACTTCTTGTTTTCCCTATACAATAATTCATTTTTGAAAACAAAAATATTGGCAATGAAACATATATAGTGTTTTTTTTCATATATAGTGTTTTTAATCTGCTGTATTATTTAACAGTATAATAGGCACTTTTTACCTCAATAAATTTATATCAAAATCATGATTTCTTAATGATATAATTAATAATTCCTTTTTTCCATTCTCCCATCACCCTCCCTTATACCGCTCTCCCCCTTATTCCCTTCTTCTCATTTAATAATAGTCTCTCTCCTACTTTCACATCATCTTTTTTAGATTCTGCATACTAGGAAAACGTGCAATACCTCTCTTTCTGAGTTTGGCTTATTTTATTTAACAAGATGTTTTCTATTTCCATCCATTTTCCATACAAATGACAGAATTGCATTCTTTATAGCTAAATAATACTCCATTCTGTATATACTTTATCCTTTGACCTGTTGATTTGCAGCTGGGGTGGTTGCACATCTTAACTATTGTGAATTGTGCCACAATAAATATGGCTATGAAGGTATCTCTACAATATGATGACTTTAATTACTTTGAGTGTATGGTGAGTTTAATTCCTTTGACTGTATACCAGACTGGTATAGCTGGATTATAGGATATAGTTCCATTTTTAGTTTCCATTCTTTCTTTTTTTTAATTTTTTGCTTAAATTCTTTTATTGGTATGTTTTAGGTATACGGTATGTTTACATTTATCATTGGGTATTTGTACCTGTACATGGTGTATCTTGGTTCTTATTTTTTCCCTATTCCCTTTCTTTCTTTCTTTCTTTCTCTTCCTTCCTTCCTTCCCTTCTTTCTATTTTTTTTTTTTTTTTTGAGGAGCCTTCAGAATGATTTCCTTAGTGGCTCTACTAATTTACATTTCCACCCACAGTGCAGAAGGGTTCCTTCCCCTCTGACTACATCAGCATTTATTATTTTTTGTATTCTTGCTGATTGCCATCCTGACGGGGGTGAGATGGAATCTCAGTGTCATTTTGATTTGCATTTCCTAATGGCTAAAGACGTTGAACATTTTATACACTTATAGGTCATGTGTACTTCTTTTGAGAAGTGTCATTTCAATTCATTTCTCCATTTATTGAAGGGGCTATTGAGCTTTTCAGTATGTTTTAAAATCTTTATATATTTTATATTAATCCTGTATCAGAAAAGTAGCTGGCAAAGATTTTAGGATGTCTTTTTTCTCTATTGATTGTTTCACTTGCTGTGCAGAAACGTTTTAATTTGATGCAGTGCCATGTGTTGGCTCTTTATATTATTTCCTGTGCTATTGGAGTCCTGGTGAGGAGGTCTTTTCCTGTGCCTATGGCTTCAAGTGTTTCCCATTTTCATTCCTGTAGTTTCAAATTTGAGATCTACCTAGGTCTTTGATCCATTTTGAATTAATGTTTGTTCTGGTAAGAGATAGGGTCTAGGTTCAGCCTTCTATCTATGGATATCCGGTTTTCCAAGCACCATTTTTAAAGAGACTGTCTTTTTTCCAAAATATGTTTTTGCTCTTTTGTCAAGAATCAGATGGCTGTAGGTACATGGATTCTGTGACCATTGTTCTTCCATTGATGTGTGTGTGTGTGTGTGTTTGTGCCAGTACCATACTGGCTTTGTTACTATAGCTTTGTAATATAATTTGACATCAGGAATTGTAATGCCTCCAGTGTTGCTCTGTTTTCTTAGGATTTCTTTGGCTGCTCTGGATCTTTTGTGTTTCTATATGAATTTTAGGATTTTTTTCTTAGTTTTGAGGAGAATGTCATTGATTTTGTAGATATGTTGAGTTTGTAGATTGCTTTTGGTAATGTGGTCATTTTAACAATATTAATTCTGCAAATCCATGAAAATGAGAGGCCTTTCCATTTTCTAGTATCTTCTTCAATTTCTTTCTACAGTGTTCTGAAATTTTCACTGTAGAGATCTTTTATCTCCTTAGGTTGATCCCTAGTGAATGGGATTGTTTTCCTGACTTCTTTGTCAGCTAGTTCATTATTGGT